TCACTAGAAATGACGTCATTATAGAATGGATCACCCGATCTCGCCAGGAAGTAATCACGGAGGCTGCACACTTCACGATTATGCATGGTGAGCGCGCTCAGAAAGCCACGCCCACCATGCTTTCGCGGCAAGTACAGCCTCCTTACCGACGATCTCGGATGATGCATCCTGTGGGACGTCATGGTAGTGCGGACTTTTCTATCCAGGGGTTAAGTTCAGTCTGAGTCCACCTGAGTATGCCAAAGGTATACATAAGGACAGGTATGACCCAACCGTTATATGCGTATGTCTTATTCACATTGGACAAAAGGCTATTAAGCACTTTGGTCAAGCGTGCATAAAACACGTCGCAAACTGACTGTTTCATACCAGCCTCATCGATACCGATGTTCTGTGACATACCCAGGTATTGGTATGTTTCAGCCTCGGAAAGGGTCCTTAAGTTGACGGGCATAGATAAATCTATGCCCTCAGAGTTAGCATTAGTTAGTTAGTTATTATTATTATTATTATTTACACGAATACAAGACATTGAATGAAATTAATTTTACGAATTTTACTGTGTTATATTAATTTATTTTACTTATTGTAATTATCGACGTTTTGGGAGCTTTACAGCACCCTTAGTCACGGGGTACGTGGTCATGAAATATATAAAGCTGCATACATTCCGTAAAATTAGTTTAATTTAAATAATATAAGAACTTTTTCTCTAAATGTCAACTTCACTTGCACGTACTAACTGCTGGACAGATCTGGCAGATACACAGACTGATGATACGGAGCAGCTTGTTCAGGGTGGTGGGTAGAAGTAACTCTTCACAAAATACATGCGAACTTGCGCAGTTTTGACAAGGCCTTTATATACACCACAGGATATTATCAAATTACACTAAGCACTTCTACACCTATATCTTCATTCACCTTCATCTTTCTTGACACACTTTTATTTAAAAGGGGCAAAGTAATCTAAAACAAAATTAGTTTGTATTTAACCTCTTACCTACCAAGCGGCCGAATTCGATCGCGGCGATATTCCTTCAAATACCAAGTTACCGAATTCGGCCGCATCCACCCACAGCACCTTAACCCATAAATACTTAAAGTTAGAGGCTACTTTTCTATGAAGAAGTTTGGTCTATCCTTTAGTGCAATAAAAAGTTAGTTACTCTATGGTTATTATCTTTATAATCTACGTTCATTACGTACGCCATTTTCGTGTGGATGTTATTGTGTTTTGTGGTGTTGATTTTTGGATTTTTTCTAGTGTTTTATTAGTGTCTTTGTATAGTGTTTTATTATAAAATTGGTATGAAAGTTTTTGTGTGAACATAATTCATCTTTTTACGTAAATAATTTAGAGTATAGAAATAATAGCGATTTTCACGCTGCCGACATCCGCTTGTACCCGTTTTTTGTTATCAAAATACAATAGTCTTCTTGTAATGAAGTAAAACCTGACTTTTGTTTAGACTACAGGATAGAGAATTTTGTATAGATTTTATAACGCCAAACTTCTTCATAGAAAAGTAGTCTCTAAATATAAGTTTTAATGGTTTAAAATGCTGTGGGTGGGTGCGGTCTCATTCGACCGCTCGGTATTTGACGGACACATGCGACTGCATGGGATTTTATGGGGATTGAAAGGTTAATTTTATCTACATAAGTAACCATGTCTTCGCAATTTAGAAGAGATCTACCTTAACGTATACATAATGATAATGATGACGATTTAGGAAATGACAAATTTAAAAAGAATGCCCATCAAAATAACTTGGAAGCTTTGAGTATTAAACCAAAGGAGACGGCATCGCAAGGCATACCCCTCTGTAAAAAGTACGAGAGTCCGACCCATACTCGTTATATAAAACTAGTTGCTCCGCGTCGTGCGTCATTCCGAAATTTGCCGCGAGCTCCGACAAAATGCCGAATTGCAGTGTATTTACATGAAAAAAAAACAATCGAAAACGTCAAGTATACAAAAGGACAATGTGACTTTTCATCTGTGAGTACTTTTAACATAATATTAAAGCAATTTTATCATTAAAACTCGTACTTTGTGAATATTTTCGTCCAATACCAAGTGAAAAATATAAATAAAAAATAATCCATTTTTAAATAAATATAATTTACTACACAAGTTAAATATATTAACGAAAATATATTTCCTAATAACTAAATCAGCTTGTGATGAATAATAATCACTACAAATAGATGTGTAGTGGATTTTTTTAAATGATTTATATATTCAGGATAATTTCAACACGATACTGAATATTATATAATTTAATATAATCGATAACTAGTATTAACTAACTATGGTTAAAAATATACTGGTATCACTGCAACCGAAAGTATTGAACTATAGCGATGAACGCCACAACTTTAGTTATCGATAAGTTAATTAACCATACGCGTTTGTCTGCCGAATCGGTTTGTAGTTTTTATTTAACTTTTTCAATAAAGTATTACAAAAAGTAGTAAATTTTTCTATTATTGGTTTGTTTTTACAGATTTCCAAAAGATCCTTTTAGGCGACAAACTTGGATTGTAGCTTGTAGAAACCATGAATCTTGGATACCTTAACGGACTAGCACCATTTGCTCCAAACATTTTAAAAAATCATATTTCATACCCCAAGATTACAATAAACGAAGGTTAGCTGACACTGCAGTACCAACCATGAACGTGTGAACATTTTTATTATGCCCTTGACACCAATATTATTCTACTTGAAAATATTTTATTAAGTTTACAAAAGCATTAATCTATGAACTTTAATTCATATACTTTTATATATATATATATATATATATATATATATATATATATATATATATGTATGTTAATATATATTTTCCAAGGCCAAGGAAAATTACATATTTTTGTTATTACCCTTGACACCAATATTATTCTTGAAAATATTTTATTAAGTTTACAAAAGCGTTAATCTATCAAATTTAATTCATACACTTATATATATATATATATATATATATATATATATATATATATATATATATATAGTCCTCCTCTCACTGCGAGTACGAGCCATCACTTAGGCCAAGGAAAATTAAAGTGAAATAAAACCGGCCAAGAGCGTGTCGGGCCACGCTCAGTGTAGGGTTCCATAGTTTCCCGTCCGTCACAATAAGTGTTCCCACTTATGAGTTCAAAGGTGGGTATCCATTATGTTCGCGCTCCAGCAGCGCTCCGCGCTCCTGCAACTGCTCCCGGTAGTGGGTACTGTTGTTTCCATCCAAGTTCAAAATGATTTTCCTAGAAAGTCCTTATAAAGTTCTACTTTTCAAAGTTTTTTTTCATATTTTCTAAACTTATGGTTCAAAAGTTAGAGGGGGGGGGACACATTGTTCTTTACTTTTGGAGCGATTATTTCCGAAATTATTGACATTATCAAAAATGATTTTAGTAAACCCCTATTCATTTTTAAATACCTTTCCAACAATATATCACACGTTAGGGTTGAAATTAAAAAAAATCACTTCCCACTTTACATATAGGGGGGTTACCCTAATAAAACATTTTTTTCCAATTTTTATTTTACCACTTTGTCGGCGTGATTGATACACATATTGGTACCAAATTTCAGCTTTCTAGTGCTAACGGTCACAGAGATTAAGCGAGGACGGACAGACGGACAGACAGTAATGGCGAAACTATAAGGGTTCCCAGTTGACTACGGAACCCTAAAAATGCCTTGACATAAAAAACAATAGCATAAACAGGTTTCACAAGTTTGCAAGAAATACTTTGCCCTAACATTTACCTATTACTCAACAAAAGCCTATCGCTATGTACGTAAAACTTTTGGAACATGTTTGCCTGCACCACGGACATTGACTAAGTGATACACTACCATCGATCGCCGACCAGAGTTTACTCAAGAAGCGCTGACGGCATTAAAATTGAGAGCGGAGAGTAACCCTGATAAAAAAATTTATTATACCTTCGTCATAGATGAAATGGAAATTATGCAATTGACGGAATACTATGTTAGCAGCCAAAGGCATTATGTATATAACCAAAATGTTTTTAGAACTTGCATAGTACTCCGTCAATTGTTTTATTTTCATTTCATCTATCACTAATATACAATACAATTTCTTGTCAGGGCTACTCTCTAGTCTAAGTTTTAAAACAGTTAACGCCTTTTAGTGTAGCTAAGTCGGCCATCAATCGTACATTAGTTTAGCAAAACATCTTTCTGAGGAATACTTAGCCCTAAGTAGATGTCACATTTTATTTTTAAGCAGCTGTCTGTTCAAAGTTCACTTTGTTCAACTGTGATATAGTGTAAAACTTTTTTTAAATATTTTCCAGATAGTTTAATTTGTTGATTTTGAAGAGTAATTAGATTGTAATTACTCTTCAAAATCAACAACTTTTTATAAATAGCGGTTTTGTGATTGAAGCCTCATAATAAAAACAAAAACTTGATTACACCATCTCAGATAATAAACTGATAGGATTTTTCTTTTCATAAATCTGATTTTTAAAATAAGTTAACTAAACCTCCTATTTCGATTTGTTAAACACTTTAAATTTTATCCTGCATAATGTAAAATAAACCTGTAGCAAAATAATAAAGTTTCCTTCAATAATGTTGTAGTGTGCGTTTATAGTGACACGATTTAATTTTGCATTTGTTGTTAAGTATACAGTTGTGTGTTTTTCTTGCGCCCCCCTGATGTTGACAGAATTTTTGTTTAGGAATTAACGCGCATGGCCTCTCCAGTTGGTTGAATACTCAAAGCTTGGAAGCGATTATAACAAGACACTGTATAAAAGAATTACAGATGCAACGGTAAGTACTATTAAAACTTAGATTCAAACATCTATGCTACAAATTTTTGACACGTTTATATTATTTTTGAGAAAAAATATGACAGCACTGCCACCTACCGACAACCATCTACTTTCTGGCAGATTTTACTTAAAAAAATATGTCTTTGTATATTCAAAGCAATGTCTTATTCCAGGCCTAAAAACACCTTTACCGGAGTACGATTTTGTGATCATTGGCGCAGGCTCAGCCGGCAGTGTACTAGCTTCGAGGCTTACTGAGAACCGCAACATAAGCGTACTCCTTATTGAGACCGGGAAGCCGGAGATGCTTTTGACTGATTTACCAGCAATGGCGCCATACTTTCAGTCGACTGATTACGCCTGGCAGTATTACATGGAGCACCAACCGGGAGTTTGTATGGGTAAATCAGAAGATAGATGATATTATTAACAAGCTTATGTAATAAACGATCTTACGGTCTCTCTATTGAAGGATGAGGGATAACTTGTTCTTCTTCATCAGCCCGCAAAAGTAATACCTTTATTTAAATCTGGTAGTACATTGGACCCCGCCAATTTTAGACCTATTTCTGTACTGCCAACACTTGGTAAATTTTTGGAAAAAATAAGCTTGATCAAATGTAAAAAAAAATTAATGTAAATATTTTACTTCATAAAAATTTAATCGATTTTATAAGGGGTCGCTCGACAACTGTTGCTGGTGTTGAGCTGATATATCATAAATGAATGGGAGAACTCACAGGATGCTTTGGGTATATTCTACGACCTATCCAAAGCCTTCGACTGTGTTCACCATGAAACATTAATCAGGAAACTTCAACACTAAGGCGTGAGAAGTGATGCTCTCAAATTAATAATTTCATATTGAAGTAACCGGACGCAAAACGTTGTCATTAATAGTATGAGTTCTTTCGGATCGATAGTACAAATGGGCGTGCCTCAGGGCTCAGTTCTCGCCCACTTTCTGTTTCTTGTATATATTAATGACTTACCTTACATACTCGTAGTAGTGGATAACCATGATATAGTATTATTTGCTGATAACACTTCATTAATTTTTACTTAAAACGGCAGTTACTAAATTACGACGAAGTAAATAATGCTATAGCTAAGTTAGTCAATTGGTTTAATGTTAATAGTTAGCATTTAAATGGCACTAAAACTAAATGTATAAAATTCGTAACTCCAACTGTCAAACATGTTAAGGGGAAATATAATCTCAAATGGCTTAGCAAGATCTTTCGTTATGCCGAAAATATTGCAGCATTAATTTTGAAATAAATATATGGTAAAGTTGAGGGTTAATGTTAAGGACTATGTTAGACGAAAACACGATTTCGTAAAATTTTCTCGATAAAAAAAAATCCAAAGTTACCTCCAAAATAAACAATAAACCGCTGTTATTCATAAAATACTTTAAATAAGATCATGAAACTTTGCATACTAACTGAACTAACTATAAAGCAGTGCTTATGTTATTTACTTTTTTTTAAAATACCATTATTTTCACTGTAAAAAGAAATTACCTAAACTATCGACCTTTTGAAGCGTGATTCCTGCAGCACGGTCACTTCGCCTCGGCCTTTGAACGGGGAGGTTGTGTCGCTTGCGATCATAATATACATTACGCAACAGTACGACGTAAAATTAAAATGGGAAATAATCGCGATAAAAATAAGAAGCGGCTGGCTTGGCGTTAAGAAACAGGCATAAATATGATAAACCTAATGAAATAAGTGTCTAACGACCTTTCTACTTACAGTATTAGTGATTACAAACATGTCGGTACATAGCATACGACGCGCGGGCAAGTGGGGACGAAATTAGAATTTGAGCTGACTTACTCTATCCCCTTAATACTAATATAGTTTAAATGGGGAGGAGCTGAGTCTTGTTGATACCACCATTTATCTTGGAATCGCACTAGACGCAAAGCTGGAATGGGGCCTCCATATATCAAAACTAGGTAGCAGACTTAGTTCTGCAGTATATGTTGTAAAAAGAACTCTTACCAAAGTTGAAACAGCTAGACTAGTTTGCTTTAGTTATTTCCATAACATAACGTCGTCGTATAGTATTTTGCTATGGGGACACGCGACTGACACTAAAATTATATTTCTTTTACAGAAGAGGACCATTCGAAAAATATAAATGATTTAAAACCTAGACTCGCTCAGACAAAAATTTAAGGAAATTAATATATTAACTCTGGCCTCTCAATTTATGAAAATGTAATGTATGTACACAAAAATAAAATTAGTTTTGCAAAAATAAGTGATATACATTCTGTAAATACTAGGAACAGACACAAGCTAGTAGTACAAGTTACTCGAGTCCACCGAGTCTATAATTCATTTTTGGGGCGATGTATACGCTTTTACAACAAAATCCCAGAAAATATACAAAATTTGACATACACAAAGTTCAAAAACTTTATAAAACTTAGTTTTATAAAGTTTTTGAACTTTATTACTGAAAGGGTTGTTATAATATTAAAGAATTTATGTATTATAATAACCCCTGGAAAGGGTGTATCGCTACCAAGCTATATATAATTTTTTTGTGTTGTTAATTGTAACATACATGATTGTAAGCTCTTATTTTAAAAAAAAAACAGTCCCGCTGGGTGTCTTGCTGGTTCTTCCCAGGACAGAGGTATTTTTGGCGAACCAGTGGTAATGAAAAAAAGTGACTTTCAATAAGTATTATTTATAATCCATATTTAATAAAAAGTTATTGTTTCTGTTAACTACTTGACATGGGCCTGTTAGGTAAGTGAAGACTTAATAATTTCTTATATTTAAGCGAACACTGCATGTTTAAATAAAACGTGCAGTGTTCGCATAAGTTCATACGAATTTTATCGCGTGTATTAACTTATTTTATATTCCCGACGTTTCGAGCACTTTACAGCACCCACGGTCACTGGGGGGACTGAGGTGTTCGACGTCCCAATATCATAGTTAACCACGGCTACCTCCAGATTAAAATTATTGACTTTTGCTTTTTGTTTAATTTTTTTAAATCTATCATACCAGTAAAACTAGTTTTAGTAAAAAGTGAAGCCTTGTCATATTTGTCCCACGGATTGGTAGACATAGTACCAAAGTTCTACAGACATCTGCTGTTATTGATACACTGAATCACAAAAAGCTATAGGGTATTACACCATGACGTGACCACCTAACAGTTAGTAACACTTTTCTATGGGTGAGCTTCGCATTAGGGTATTCTTTTAGTATTTGACATAGAAAAAACTTAATCCCAAAGAATTCACTTCTCTTCGCGCATTATTTCCATATCTCTTCATTTCTGTACATGCAGGTTTTTTTACTAGCAAGAACCCGCGAAATTGTTAACATGATTAATACTCCTTTATATAAAATACAATTTTTCCTTAATTTAGAATTTAATTTTAACTTGTTTGACACCCCGTATATTAGCAAAGTTTGACAAGACATATCAAACACACAAAAGACACATCAAAATTATTAGTTATACAGGGTTATTATGCAATAACCTGGCAATTTTACAGAAAAGGTTCAAAATAAGTAATATAGGCATACGATGAAGAACAATTAATTAATAAAAATATCAAACATTCTATTCTTTTTGTCTTTTAAATTCAAAATGCGCGATAATTATTTTAACTGATTTTACTGCGCACACACATTTGTAGGGATCGATCGGTAGGCAAAAACGTTGTTGCCCATAAATCACATTCAGTTTGGGATAATTTCAAATAAAAGTAGAAGCCTTAATACCTCGTATTTGTAAAAACTGCAAGAATAGTATATCATAATTTATATATTTGAACTTAAAGTCAAAATGTGGCTACTCTTTAAAAAATAACTCTGTATTTTTCACGCAACTGGCAGTGTATACCAACCAACCAGGTCATACATCATTATTATAAAGTATTAAATACAGATTTTTTAAATACTTTTAAGTTCTCATTTATCCATTCAAATTCCAGTTCTATCGAATGAATTAATATTTTAAAGATTATTTTTGTCTGTCGATTAAAGGAGTAATTAACATTAAAATTCCAGGCATGAAAAACGAGCGTTGTTTTTGGCCTCGAGGTAACGCTGTTGGAGGTTCGAGTGTTATTAACTACATGATTTACACACACGGCAGACCTCAAGACTGGGACCGCATTGCAGCCAACGGCAACTACGGGTGGTAAATATATAAGGCAACAATTATTAACAGTAACGTCAAATCAAACAAGGAATCGTAAATATGAATATCATTTTAATACGCGTGGAAACGGTGGTGAAACACGTTTCGCTTAGAAGTCCTTGCAAGAACTTTTATCTTAAAAAATCATACTCATAGTTACACATGATATAACTTAAAAGCGTAACGATAAAGTTCTAATTCAATCCTGCATTGGAAGCTGCTTCCGGCTTTATTGAAATAGTTCGTACGCCTTCTAAAACAACAACTACACTATGTGCGCTGTAGCATGGTGCGGGTGACAGTTTCAGTAACGTTTCGTTTCACTCTTGAAAGTTGCCGCGATTTAACTATTATGACTTAGTATTAGAGCTGTACCATACTCGTAATATATTAAATTATTAATAACTGTAGTAACTTAAATTTAACCCAGCCAGAATGTTCTCGTCTACAAATAAAATCAAATCGAAAGAAAAATTAAGCAAAGTGTGCGTATATTTAGTGAAGGTATGTACTGCTACAATGGACAGTCGATGTTTTTTTTATAATAAAAAAACGTATATTACGCGTAGTTCATTTTTTATTGTTAAAAAGTCTATAATTAAATAAATGAAACAACAGAACATATATAGGGTAAGGTTACTTAAAAGGTTGCTAAGAAGAAATATATTTTATTCGCCTAAACTTATATCAGAGTCAAGAACACCTAAATTGTAACTAAATTCATCTGAATCTGTGACTCCATTACGTTGTCAATATGGATGTCACGACTCACGATCCCAATCAGACATAATGTCCCTTTTTGTTTTATTCACGACCTTTGACCAGTCTTCAGCTTGAACATTGTTGATGGCCTTTTGTAGTAGGGCCCACATCTTATTTGCCGTAAATGGCGGAGAAGTGTTATTTCTTGCGGCGTGACCTAAAAATAAACGGACTTATGAATAAAAAGTATTTCAATTCAATCAATCATTAAATCAAATAATCAATTATTTCATAGGTAATGCTAAAAATTACGCTTGAAATACGTCTAATCTGGTATCTGGTAATGTTTTTAAACCACATGCTACGTTCGGAAAGCTGATTTTTTTTAAAAAGCTCCAAAATGGGACTTGAAATTAAAAGCATACCTTTTATTTGGGGCTAAAGTAGCGTTATACTGGCAATGGTAGGGTGGTAGTCAAAGGACCTGGTGGCCTTTTTCCTTTGCCATCTCGTCCAGAGCATAGGTAGGAGTTGGCGGCTTATGACGCCGGACTAAGGCAATAAGCTCCGCCTTTAACATTTTTAGGGTTCCGTAGTCAACTAGGAACCCTTATAGTTTCGCCATGTCTGTCTGTCCGTCTGTCCGTCCTCGCTTAATCTCTGTGACCGTTAGCACTAGAAAGCTGAAATTTGGTACCAATATGTGTATCAATCACGCCGACAAAGTGGTAAAATAAAAATTGGAAAAAAATGTTTTATTAGGGTAGCCCCCATAGGTAGGTATAGTAGTGGGAATGGATTTTTTTTTAATTTCAACCCTAACGTGTGATATATTGTTGGAAAGGTATTTAAAAATGAATAGGGGTTTACTAAAATCATTTTTTGATAATGTCAATAATTTCGGAAATAATCGCTCCAAAAGTAAAAAACAATGTGTCCCCCCCCCCTCTAACTTTTGAACCATAGGTTTAGAAAATATGAAAAAAAATCTGAAAAGTAGAACTTTATAAGGACTTTCTAGGAAAATCATTTTGAACTTGGATGGAAACAGTTTTTTTACAAAAAAGACAAAAAGTTGTACAAAATAATTTCTGGACTAAGTTGGTAGTATAATCGTATATGCAAGCATTTTTTTAACTTCGTTTACATATTTTATTATCCTGAACATATCTTTTTTCAAACAAAAAAGAATTATTAAAATCGGTTCTCGCAATCCAAAATTACCACCGAAAACTTCTGACACGTCTATGTATTAATTAGTAACCCAATTCCCCGAGAGATGGCGCTGTAGGTACTTATTACATTGGGTCGGGTATTATCGAATTGTTCGGTTGGTCTCCCCTTGGCATCGCCTGCCGCGGAGCGTGCAATGTTGCACGCTCCATGTTCGCGCACGTACCCACTACCGAGAGCAGTTGCAGGAGCGCGGAGCGCTGCTGGAGGGCGAACATAGTGGATACCCACCTTTAAACTCATAAGTGGGAACACTTATTGTGACGGACGGGAAACTACGGAACCCTACACTGAGCGTGCCCCGACACGCTCTTGGCCGGTTTTTTATATCCGCTGTTACTCCGTTTTCACTTAGCCACTTCACCAACTTTTGCGGGTGGATTGGTTTGGGGGTTTATTAACTTGTACCGAATGGTACGGTGCGTTGTCCATTATTATGGTCATAGGCTCTTTTAAATTATTTAATAGACATATGAACCAATCTTCCGAAAATGTATCGGAACCCGGTGTCTCCAGTCGGCCCCTGCCACGCGCCAACTACTACACAAACAGATAAGTAAAAGCAATAGATACGCAGTCACGCATACACTCGCATTTAATAAATCATAACGTACTACACAATTAATTATAAACCATATCTCTAAAACCACAACGTCCATTTACCATTCACCGTACTACTTACTCACACAAAAATATCGGGCACTATCGTTGTGCTGTAAAAAAGCCATTTATTTTACATATACGTTAGTGATTGACTAAATTGGAAAGTTATCGATTGTTTCATTTAAACCAAAATTGTAATAAAATTTTTTTGGCCCTAAATATAAAATAAATAAAAAAGAGTAAAAAATCCGGTTATGTTGGTTTTGGCTATCATAGCGGATTGAAATAGTAGGTATTTTAGAACCATGCTATGGTAATTGTGCAGCACTTGACTTTTTATATTTCTGGGGTGGCATTTTTGTCAAATAGTGTAATCCTAAATTAATGTATTTTTCCATGACCGCTGTTATAAGAAATATAATGTGATTATTCATCGGAGACTGCTCAAATTGGTGAAACTTAACATAAAAATTAAATTTGACAAAGCCTTTGCCATGAGTTCCCGTTTGACATTTTTAGTTTTAATTGCTTATTTATCATTAGCGAAACAAGCTGTTTTTATGATAATTTTAATTCGCATACAAATTACGACGACCAGTACTAGTTTTTATAGGGAACGAAGTCAGTGGCATCAATCCATTTCTTTTTTAAATTAGCATCATTTGTCAAGCCGAAAGGTACAATTAATAACCTATTTATTATTTTCATTTAGCCTAAGCTACTTTTTAACCTCACCATGTACTAAGCAGGTTTTGCTTGGCGATCTTTTGTTACAAAACTCCTGGTTAGTGATAATATTGTTAAATATATGAAAACAAATACACACTCATGTCTAACAAATAAATAGCAAGAATAATTATATTGAATAATTTTAAGCCAAAGTCACTATATAACCATGCCGGTTAGGTATTTATGATACATTCGAAGCTTTTGAAAACTGTAAATTATATTAAACCCCAATACCATAACAGTGATGAAAATTTTTCGAAAATAAGGCATAATATACGATAATTCAAATATAAGAACACTCCATCGATTATTAACCTAAAATTTAATCAACTTACTTTACGACCTTTGCTTACGCATTCAGCGTAGTAGTTGCTGTAAAATAATCAAAATAAGTAAAAAACATTATGTCACATTGGTCTTCCTATCGGGTTGAAACGGTTGACAAATTGGAGAATAAACTATAATAGCAATTCGTCAATCCACATTATTGTCGATAGTGGATCTGCACACGCACATTACTAGCTCGTCACAAGATACAGCGGCCGTACTACCCAATATATCCGCATAAATAAAGTATTGTTTTGTGATGTTTACATTGCTTGTTGAGTCACTTGGCATCATACTTAGGTAGTGGTTATGGAGCAATGTATTTATTGCAAAAATATTACAGTGGCTGTGATATTTGGAAACAAAAATAACGTAGTAAGAGAAATAAATATTTTACGATTTGTTGTTTAATATGATTTTAAAGATAAAAATAATGAAATACTTGTATTTGGGTATGGTAGGTGATTCCATGATTAACAAAGTTTTTGTTTTGGCTTCGTTTTTTACAAGAAACCACTGAATAACATGGCATTCTGTTATTATTTCACGATGACGGTCGCAAGCGCACTAATTCGTAGAGACAGCCATTTATATAGAAGCTGAGCATTTTAATCATAGCGTGCGGACACAGACACGCCCCCTTGCCACTTCTGCTGTTTTTAATATTTCTATGTTTTGAATCATCTGAATTACTTTCACCACAAGTAAGATCTTCTGACATAGATAGAGTGCGTGTTTTTAGAAATGTTATGTTATCGAAGAAATTCATATTGTAATTAAAATAAATAAATTTTAAAATAAAGAAAAAGTATAATATTGCCGAAGTTCGATCATACGTTAGTAACACTCCGAGCTAGTACACCACTGGGCTATTCGGACATTTTTTTCTACGGCGAACTTAGGCTTCAGTTACCTATGGCTTATAATTTTTTAAATCGAGTATGGAGTTAGTTTTGATGAACAATTTTGAATTGACGATTAACACTGATTTTTTCCCACAATCATTTACCACTTACAATACAATTTTATATTATAAGTTATCGTAGTAAACACCTATTTCACAGGAAAACAATCGGAATTAACAAAAGTCATCCCTTTTAGAAATTATTATTACACCTTTTGTTTAATAGTTTGTAACTTTATAATTCATTTAAATGTATATATCGCACTAATACAATACTGCTGTAACTCAAGATATGTTCAATTTGTGAAAACATCATATTCAAACGCAGAATTCAGTTCCCTACGCGTCAATAATACCGTCGTTAGAATAGTGCAATAAACAAATAAGAGATGGCTCCATTTGTCATTGTTTATGATTGACCGACTGTTGTAAACCCCCACCCAATATTGTATCATCTTTGGTTACGATCGAAACTCGGCTAAGGGTGTGCTGCATTGTGTTTTAGACCGTATTAATTCGAATTGGAACGTTATTGCTGAACAGGTATGTAAAAGTTAAACTATTTAATTCCAGTTAATACATTATAGTTGATTTAAACCTAAAGATAAATTTGGTGTATTTCTAGTTGTTACACTATTATTGATTCACAAAAATGAGATTTAAAACAATATTTTTACTTACGACATTCTTGTTGGTTTAGTAAGTAATTTTGGACTTAATACAGTTTTGTCGAAGAATTTTAATTACCTTGTTTCTTGTGATAAATTGTTAACATTTAAACAAATACTTATTTGTTAATCACAGCATTTAAAGTTACGCATTCAAACATGTTAAAGTAAAAATAAGAATATTCTTAGTAACTATTTTTTATAATTATTTAGAGTTATTACATTCTTGTTGACATACAATATAGTCGTATAAGGTGACTCACTCAATAAATAATTGTTTTTATTTGTAGAATAAGTATGCACCGAGGGCGATTGCTTGTAGATATGGCGAGAAAAACAAAGTCAAAAAATCACCAGTGAAGGAAAACGAAGAACTTTCATCATTGAAACCGGTGAGTGCAAATAATAAATGGTCTCAGAATGATGACAACAAAGCTGCGAAAGAACAAACGGCGTCCTCGATAACTTCACCTTCTACAATAATTAATCCAGTTCTTCAAGAAATTAACGCGAACAATACACTCAGTACGTCTAGTAATGTTGAATCAATGACCCAATCCAAACAAACGCAATATTACATTTCAACCCTGCACTCTGATGAGAGTGATTTTGATGATTCCGACTGTGACCCTCATTTTATTCCTGGTTCAACCAGTAAAGCTCCGAGTTTACTTCGAAGTGGTGCGACAAAATCGTCATGTAGTTCTTCGTCAAGTAGCTCTTCTTCCAGTAGCTCTTCATCAAGTAGCTCAGATCAGGAAGCTGAGAATGCCTTAAGTTCCGTTGCATCAACTAGTAGATCAGCAATTCAAACGGCTACAGAGTCAAATGTTCCCTCAGAAGTGCAGCACAACAGAAAAGGCAAAAAGAGGGTACGTAATGTATTAAATTGGAAAAGTAAAATAGCTAAAACACTTCGCAATACTGATTAATCATACCAATCAGCGACTAACAATCCCGTACCTGCAAGGAAGATGTGACCTACATGTGGCGAAAAATGCAGGTTAAATTGTGGTTCAAAAATAAATGAGACGTCAAGACAGAACATTTTCAAGAATTATTGGAGTTTGGGAGATTTACAAAAACAAAGAGAATTCATAATTAGACATACTACGGACATTAAACCAAAATACAGATACTCATCCACTCAAAATTTACGTAAATTAAATACCGCATTTCATTTCCAGCTTAACCATAATTATATCAGAGTCTGCAAAACATTTTTTAAAAATACACTCGCAATAAACGACAGACCAATTGCTACAGCATTATCAAAAAAAAGAGATTGGTTTTGTACTGGAAGATATGCGAGGGAAACATGGTAACCAATGCACTGTGGAACCTGAAGTCTATGATAGTGTCAAACAATTTATTAATACCATACAACGGATCGAATCACATTATCTTAGAGCCCAGACATCACGGGAGTACATTCAGTGTGATAAATCTTTAGCAGACTTATACCGTGACTACAAAGAAAATCGTACAAAAGAGAACCTACTATCTGTTTCTGCATCTACTTTTAATCGCATTTTTAATAAAGATTTTAATATTTCCTTCCATACGCCAAAGAAAGATCAGTGTGATCTCTGCGAAAGTTATAAAAATGCTGACGAAGAAGGAAAACAAAGGATTGTTATAGTTTACGAAAATCACTTGAAAGAAAAAGAATTGTCCAGAAGAGAGTAAGAAATAGATAAAACCAGGGTAGACAACACAATTGTCGCTGCCTATGACGTACAGGCTGTAATGCCGATACCAAAGGGTCCAATTTCTTTATTTTATTACCAAAGTAGGATTAATTGTTTTAACTTGACTTACATGCTAAAAACGTTGAATGTTTCTTCTGGGACGAAACTGAGGGAAATCGAGGTGCGATAGAAATTGGGAGTTGCGTACTAAATTATATAGAAAAATATACACAGGCTAATCCTAATAAAGAACTAGAATTCATATTTTACTCTGATAATTGCTGTGGCCAGCAAAAGAATAAGTATCTCCTTGCAGCTTACGCTTATGCGGTACAAAAATTGGATGTTAAAAGTATAACCCACAAATTTCTGATTCGTGGTCACTCTCAAAACGAGGGTGACAATGTGCACAGCGTAATTGAAAAGCAAGTAAAGCGCTTCCTTAAATCACAACAATACGTCACTTTACTTCAGACCGCCAAAAAGACGGGACCTTATAGAGTCAATGAAATGACTAATGATAAATTTTATGATCTTAAATTACTTCAAGAGCAGTGGGGTAACAATTTTAATGTGAACACGGATAGAAACCAAGTAAAATGGCACGACATTAAGGTGCTTCGTGTTGTAAAGGAACATCCAATGACTTTTTTCTATAAGAATTCTTACGAAGGTAAAAACTACAATAATGTTTCCGTACGTAATACACGACGAGCTGGGAACCAAACGTTGGATTTATTTTCTGTTGGATTGACACAAGCATATACGAGTAAGATACCTTTAAATCAAAATAAAAAAGAGACATAAAAGAACTGCTCGACAAAAATATAATTCCCAGGTCCTATTATGAATCATACTTTCGAGCTGTGATTGATTAGTTTTAACTTATTAAAAAAAGTATTATTATTAATATCGTGATTTGTAATGTTAATTATTTATAACTAATGCTCCTTAAACTTGTTTAAGTATACTTATTATAGTAAGTATAAATTCTTTCGCCTAGGTCCAGTTTAATGACTACGTACCATTACTGAGCAATTTGGCTTTGCTGTTTTTTTAAGTTACATTTAGACACAAATTACATGAATAATATTTTTTGATCTTATTGACATAATAGAAAAAACTGAACTGGTTATTTGAATGAAAATCATGAGTGCAATTAGTTTAATTAAAATTTTTCTTATTTTTAAAAATTACCTAAAAAGAGGGGTCGAAATAATAGATTTTCTCACAAAATAAGGAAATTTAAAAAAAAAGGAAAAAAAAGTCGGACCCAAGACGGGACGCGAACCACGGAACTCCGATATCACGCCCGACCGACATCCCAGCTGAGCTATTACGATCGTTACTCCATACGTCAAAATTTACCTTCTTATATTGTAGCAGTTTTTTTAAATTTATTAATAAAAAAGATTAATTATTTATATGTATGAATATGTATGAATTATAGTATTTTAATTTCCCCTGTTTTTTACACTAAGACAAATTTTGTACTTGTTTTGAAAGGTTTATTTTGTTATTTAACTAAGTACAAATGTTTAAATAACATTTTAATTATCTTTTTTATAAATAAAGACTGAATATGTGACTGTTTTTCTTGATAACCTGGTTTTATTTATCAATGTCCTAACCGTAGTATGAAAATAATTATGTTGGAGTTGGAAAACCAAATTTAAAAATTGTTGTAAATCAAAATGTTACTCAATACCACAGAAAAAAGTCACCTTAAAATTGTAGTAACTCAAAATGTTTCGACAATAACTATACAACTAAAATTTATTCATCTTTCTGAAAACTTTGTTCCGGACAATACAGTCCTAACTCAAAAATTGGTAATTATATTTATTACCGGCAAATTTAAAAAAAATGTTAAATGATAATTGCATTAATTTTATTAATAAACCTAATAAAGCATTAATTTTTTTATAATTAATAATAGGAAGTGAAATACATTTTTCGACGATTCTGAAAAAAGTCACTTTTTGAGTTACAACAGTATTGTACTATCAGTGCGATATGTACACGAGATAAAATAATATGGTAACACAGATGAGTTACGCATTAATTTTATTGTAAGATACTAATAAAAATTGTCTTTTATATGCAGGTCATACAATGACGTTATAAAATACTATAAAAAAATTGAAAAATCCAATTTAAATGGTTACGAAAAAAGTCCTTATAGAAGTCGAGACGGAATTCTTCCTGTGGAGTTTGTTCCTAAAACGTACGTACAACATTTTTGTAAAAAATTTAAAGACTACGAAGAAATTAGGAAGAAAGAAGATGCAATATAACTCCTTAATATTCTTAGGTCCTTACCTATATAATTTCTGTTTTTTTTTAATACTGGCTAGTTTGTGGTTTCAACCATATTCAAGTTCATAATATAATAGAGCAACGACGCTGTTTTAAAAAAAAATCAGATCTTCCTTTGTTTATCCGCGGTTTGATTTTGTAGTGAAAACTTCGTTACGATTTTAAACTCGATGAAACGAAAAAGAGACATTAAAAAGAAACAAACATATTTATACATCTCACCATCTATAGGACTTAGCCCGCCAGAGAATGAGATAGAATACAGTGCTCAAAAAGAACGTGCTAGAAAACGAACTGAAAAGTTTGTGGGTTCGAATCCGCAATTCGACTACTGTTCAAAAAATAATTATTTAACAAATTTATTAAATAAATAAAATTAACCATATTAAACAAAATTATCCTATATACTAACCTATATGTACCTATCCATGATTTCATAACAACAGGCCATGTAGCGTCTAATTTATGTACCACCTTGAGAGTCAATCAATTTTCGTTCGATAAAATGACTTTACCTATATAATGTATAATGTCAAATAGTGTGCCGTGTAGCGGCGGTTGAGAATATCCACTACCCCATATCTTTCCGTGGGTGTCGTAAAAGGCGACAGAGGGAGACAGGCAGGAGATGGGCAGCAGCATCTTCCTGATAACAACAGTGATATAATAAAAAACTGCGGTTATCAACCCGCTCGCCAAGCGTGGCAACTATGGCAAATATCCCCCCATGAATAACGACGCAAACAAACGGCCCCCAGTCCCCGGCGGCCCCGCTATTCCTGGCTAAGGTGGCGACCATGGTAACGGCGGGGCAGGGGGTGCTAAGAATCTCCGGTGGAGGTTCGGTTGCCACCTACGACGACTCGACCTGGCAACATATAACGCACGCACCCTGAGGACTGACGAGAAGATACTGGAGCTGGAAGAAGAGGTAGACAAGTAGCGCTGGCATATTATTGGATTATCCGAGGTCCGAAGAGAGGGGGAGGACACGGTAATCCTCGAGTCCGGCAACTTGTTCTATCACCAGGAGGGCGACCATCTGTCCCAAGGAGGTTGTAAAGATTTGGAGTGTGTCGACGAGGGTCGCGTACCTGATACTCAGAATCACCAAACGGTATTCGCTGAAGGCCAAACAGGTTTACGCACCAACCTCGGCACATCCCGATGAGGCGGTGGAGGAAATGTATGAGGATATTTCCAGAGCCATGCATGCCTCCAAAACCCACTATACGGTGTTGATGGGAGACTTCAACGCAAAACTAGGCACAAGAGAAGTCGGTGAGCTGCAGTTAGGTAAATTTGGAGTAGGGCAACGGAACCGAAGGGGCCAGCAGCTGGCCGACTTTATGGAGAAAGCGGGACTCTTTATGATGAACTCTTTCTTCCAGAAGCGGCCCCACAGGAAGTGGACCTGGTCGAGCCCCGACGGTTCGACACAAAATGAGATGACTTCATTACGACGACCAGACGCCAACTGTTCAGTGATGTCTCAGTGATCGCAAGGGTGAAAACTGGCAGTGATCACCGAATGGTTAGAGGCACACTGAACCTAAACGTTAAGTTGGAGAGGTCTCGTCTAATGGTTTTTGGACGACCTTGACGGGGATCATCACTGAGCTTGACACGTCCATGTTGAAATTCAGTAAACCAGCGATAAATTGTGGTTTTGGATGGGGCTTCATCACCAAATGCAGAAATCGTCTGGTCAACACATTGTTTTTGTGTTAAACCACTTCGAAAGTCATAATAAATTTTCTCGAGTCAATTCCATTTTCTCAACGACTAAACAAGTTTGACAAAACCTTGTGACAAGACCGAGAATCTTTTTTTAAATAAATAAATGGTATTCGATTTTTAAACCCAAGGAGTTTTCAATTAAAAAGATTTTAATATGACAGGAACAGTGGAAATATTCCATTCCCGATACTTTTAGTGCAGCCTAGTAGTGAAGCGTTTTTTTATTGAGTTGTTATTAGGGATACGCTGCTGTGCGTCTTTTGTTTCATTTCCCTCTGTCGCATCTTACGCAACCAACGTAATGATATTCTAAATAAACGAAAATTATGCACAAACAGCATGCAATATGAAGAAGGACAAATGCCATTAATTTATTTATTTCAACAACTTTGTTACGACGACGCTTGTTCAGTGTTCACACACATACCATTGCTAAAACTTTCTCATACTGACTTCCATTTTTAATCTGATTTGGATAACGTTTTACAGGGAAATGTTTTTTTTTTTCATTATTATTCTTTATACAATATAAATGACGCTGCATACAGGACGGAATAAGTACAGGAAGGAGACGGAACGTGGTTGTATGTCAACACGAACGGAAGTTTAATGCATACGTATCGTGACAGTGACTCAAAACTAACGTGCTAGTGTTGTGAAAGATGGATTTTTCATTTGAAGAATTGTCATTATTTGCTATTGTTTTGAATGATGAAGAAGCTACAACCGTCAAGAGTAACAGGATATTTTTTGTATATCCTACGTGGCAGAAAAGAGAACAAGAAGGTCAATACCACAATCTCTACAGAGAACTTTTAGACGACGAGACTCAATTTTATATGTATTTTCATATGATAAAAGAATGTTTTCCTTCACTGTAAAATAAACTAAGCCCTCAATTACGTAAGAAGGACACTTTTATGAAAAGAGCCATCACACTCCGTGAATGACTGGCTGTATGATTAAGGTAAATAAGCTAAGCCCTCGTTTTCATAAAGACACTTTTATGAAAAATAGCCAGCACACCCCGTGAACGATTGGCTGTATAATGATTTCTTATATTTACGCGAACAGTACACATTGAAATAATTCTAGTTTTTACGGAATTTATCGCGTATATTTAACTTTTTAAATACCCGACGTTTCGAACGCTTTACAGCACTCATGGTCACGGGCGGGACTGAGATGTTCAACGTCCATATGTCATAGTTAACCGCGGTTACCATAGATTAAAATTTTAACTTTTGTTCCGATCTATACAGTATGAACTTATGGTATCTTGAAGTCTTGCAGTTATACGCCCGGGGGTGGGATTTAATTTTATTTGTTATAGGATCCCAAGTAGACGGTAGCACCCAGCCATCTTCTCTATTGAAATTAGGATGTTTTTTGATTTCAATAGCCTCACTAATCATCCTTGGAAGGAATCGGTGTTCTTTAGCGAGGATTTGTGGTCTATCAAATCTGATGTAGTGACGGGGGCGATCCTGTACGTGTTCACAGCCTGCAGAGTTCCCGGAGCGTCGATTCTTCACATCAGCTATATGTTCTTTAACGCGGGTTTTTATTGATCTTTTAGTTTGCCCTATGTAGGACATAGGTATGCCCGTGACC